TACTGACAGAGACGGAAGGAGACAAAAAGACAGAGAAACCCAGTGGTGTCAGAAAGATGCAGGGAGAGAAAGGTTGGCAACACACCAAATACAGACAGTCTAACTTGAATACTAAGCCTCACACTGGACCCACATTCCCCTAAATTTCTTAATGCTGTACCACTCTACTTTCAACACCTATGTGTTAGAACTTGGTTACCTCCATTTCCATTCATTCTAGTCCCATTCACCACTATTTCCCAGTCTGCTGACTGATCAGTGGTATTCATCACGCTGTGCCTATTACCACCTATGATTTCTCATCCTCTACAGAATATGGTCTGCCCCCATTACCTCCATTTACTCATTATCTTAGTCTGTTTGTGCTGCTATAACATAATACCTGAGACTGGAGAATTTAAAAAGAATAGAAATTCACAATTCTGTCAGCTGGGAAACTCTAAGATCAAGGCAATGATATTTTGTGATGGTTTTCTTGCTGTAGTCTCCAGAAAGAGTTCCTGAAAGCCCTTTTCAGAGCTGCATTAATTCATTCATGAGGGCAAAGCCCTTATGACCTAAACACCTCCTCAAATGACCTCCTTTCCAACACTGTTGCCTTGGGGATTAAGTTTCTAACACCTGAATTTTGGAGGGGACACATTCAAACCATAACTCTCATCTTTGGCACTTCCTATACCTCTCTGTATTCACTGTGTGGATCCATCTTAACTTACTAGAATCTTCTCCAATTATAATCACACTCTGTCCCACATCACATATTAAAAATGATATCTTACACACACATACTCACATTCAACTGATTTTTCACCTTCACTCTTGGTCTATCTTTTATTTCCCAGTTCACTTATACTCTCATCTAATTATGTTCACTCACACTGGGCTTCCTTTTACCACAATTCCCTGACCCATTTATTTTTCATTGTCCAAATGTTCTCAAATCACATTCTTTCTTCACTTCCATTCACTCTCACTCAGACTCATTTCCTACTTTCACCTCTACTCCTGGCACTGCACCAACTGACTCCTGTTCACTTCGGTGCCCCATCCTTCAGCTTTGTTCATTGACTCCCGGCCTCATTATCTCCTCCACTCACTCAATCCTTTTCTGCCCTTTCCTTACCTGTATTCTCCAAGATGCTGCCCCCATCGGCCCCCTTTCCTGGAACTCTGTGATGTATTATTCCCAAACACTAGCTCATGTTACCCATATGAACTCACTCTATGCTCAGTCATCTCCATTGTTTTTCAATTTCCTCTTCATTAGCTCCCCTTACTTTCATTTTTCCTAAATGCCTCATTCATTTAAATTCATTTCCAATGTAACCCCTATTACCCTCTTCTCACTTCTGCTCCTGATTCATGTCTAGTTACTCCTTCTCTGCCCCAGTAACCCTATTCAGTCATACTTTGCCTTGAATTCACCACTTTTTGCCCATATTGGGCCTGATGTTACACTGATTACTTATCCTGGGTGGACTATGTGACTTTTATTTCCTCTTCTTTTTTAAAGAAATTTTTTTAGTTGCAGATGGACACGATACCTTTATTATTTATTTATTTATTTTTATGTGGTGCTGAGGATTGAACCCAGTGCCTCATACATGCTAGGCAATAGGCAAGCACTCTACCACTGAGCCACAACCTGGCCCTTATCTCCTCTCTTTTTGCCTCACAATATCCACATTTACTTACCTTCTGCTCTTTACTTCCAATCCTTCTCATTCTGCCCACCATTCATGTATATTCACATCTGTTGATTCATACTGGGATCCAGGTCACTACCCTGCATTACACCTATCCAATTTCAGCCTGCCCCACTCACCTCTAGTCACTTTCCTTCTCCCTTATAGTATCTCTGTTCAAACTGGACTCTAATCACTCTTGTTTTTTCCATTTCTTCTTCTCTCTGAGTTCCACATTACCCCAATTCTCTCCTACTTTCCCTCTAAATTCACTTCTCCAATCATATTGTGTCTCATAAACCATTAGTCACACTCTAATCCTTAGCATTTCTATCAATTCTATTCACATTTACCAACTTTCTTTGCCCCATTCACTCAGTCTACATCCACTATTACCTTTCTTTAATTAGATTGTGTTTCACTTTTTCATCACATATTCAGTCTCATCCATAATATCAATGTAATTCAAAATCTAGTGCATGGTCATTCCTTTACTCTGCCCATGCACATCTCTCCTCATGCACTCTTCTCTGCTGCTCATTCACTTTCATTCCATTACACTTTGCCTCTCTCCTTGACCCGATTCACTCCCAATTTGACTTTCATTCGCCATTATTCATATTGGCTCACCAGTGCCATGTATCCTGTTTACTGACTCACGTTGGCTGAACAGAAAAGTCTGATATATTGTTCAGGATTAGATTTGGCTGCACGAATCAACACCACTAAAAATGTCCTTGACTTCAAGAGGAGGTAAGGGGATTACTTTCTTGGAGGCAAGGCAGTTCAATGCTAATGTGTTGACTTCAATGTCACCAGAGACATGACTCCTTCTGTGCTATTGTTCTGCCAACTTCACTGCTTCCTTTTGGTCCTAAACAACTATTAAATATTGGCAATAGCAGGCTGTAGCTGTAGCTCAGAGGCAGAGTGCATGCCTAGCATATGTGAGGTAGTGGGTTCGAGCCTTAGCACCACATAAACAAATAAAATAAAGGTATTCTGTCCATCTACAACTACAAAAAAATTTTAAAAATTGGCAACACTTTCATGGTTTTGATAAGATATATCTTAAGAGCTCAACAGCCAGGTGGGGGGCCTTTTCCCTTATCTTTGGGTGAGGGTGCCACACCACACAGAACCTGTAGTGGGACCACTTACCTGTCAATCTCCCATACCCTTTCACTTGGCCACCTGCTGCCTAGACTACTGTATGAGGAGGTTGCACCTGTAGGGACTGATGGTAGAGGATGCCCTGAATAGAGAGTGGGAGTTCTGGCTCTGCAGCAGGAAATCTGGCTTCACATAGCTTATGGATGTGTACTGTGGACCTTGGGAAAGTTTCTGAGGGGCAATATCACTGGCTCATAAACATTTCTGGAGCCCACAATCAGCACATCTCAATTTCCACCAACCCCAAAGGATTTCCCTGCTTTCATAGGTGTGTGTGTGTGTGTGTGTGTGTGTGTGTGTGTGTATACACTCTCATGAGTGCAAGGTGGTAAGGGATAAAAGTGCAAGGCTGAAAGAGTCCAAACTATGATGATCCTAAAGGTTCAGCCCTTCCTATTTTCCACCCCTGAATGTGTTAAAGAGTGGACAATGTTTATACTGGAGGTGCTGATACTTCAGAGAACAAGAAATCTGAGTTTTACTCCTGCTTCCTCTTTGCCTTGTTTGCTAGGAAGCTTCATTTCCAGGCTGGTTTTACTGATTTTAGAGTGAAGCTCCTCAGATACCTTCTATGAAATATTGAATAAACAAAATATTGAATAAACAAAAGAATAATATTACTAGGTGGAGGTTATAAATCTGACTTTGAGAATTTGTGTGACCTTTGCCTTATCTCACAAGTGGGGGCCATGGGACTGTTGTGATAATTGAGTTCATGTCATGCACGTCACACAGTGCCCACCATGCAAGAGATAATGAGTTAGTCATTTCCTATGCCTATTGCTAGGAGCCTCCTCATTGATCTCACTGTTTCCACCATTGCTCTTTACAGTCTGCTCACAAAGCAGTTTGCGAATCATCTTATTTTATTTTTCTTATTAAGAAGTTTATATATATACACATTTGATTTTATTTATATAATAATAATAAACACCGACATAGCATTTGCTATGTGCCAGGTGTTGTTTTAAACCCTTTACAATATCAACTCATTTGTCACCTCAACCCTAATGAGATAGGCACTGTCATTATCCTTATTTTATAGATGAGGACACAGTACAGGGAAGTAAACAGTCGTGCCTTATATCACACAGCTGGTGGGTGGGGGTTTGAACTCAAGGTGTCCACATCATGTTATTATTTTTTTCCTGGCTTCATTCCCAATATCTAGAACACTATTGGGTACAGAAGAGGTGTTTAGGCATATCCCTGCGGAGGTCACATTCTAATAGGGCAAAAAACAAATGAATGAAATATACACGTGTAATTTTAGCCTTAAAATACAAGACATTTGCTTCATATTGGTCTTTTAAAAATCCGATCCCTCTTAACAGTTTCCCCATTATCTAGAGAATGAGATTATAAACCCTATTCCTAGCTCCCAACGCATTAACGATGCCTCTGCCCATTCAGAGAAAGGAACCTGTCAGTCACTAATACAGCCCATTCACCAACGGCGTGTGTTTGTTTGCGTCCCACAACACTGTTTATTCTTCAGCTTGTGGTCTGTGTACTTTCCTATCTTCTTCAAAAGTTAATACGTAAACTCCAGCCCTAGCCACTGGATGGAGCCAGTGGCTTTTCCCTACCCTCTTAGTCTTTGTGTACGCAGAACATTCCGCCCGGTATCCTGCAATTACACCGGCAACACCGTTGCTGACCTTTGAATTCAAGACAAAAATTCCCGACCGCTAGAATCTTTTCCTTAATTGGGCACTTATCCTCCCTGCCCTTCCATAAGTGTATTGGTGTCTGAAATCTTAGAATGCTGGCCTCCGCAGAACAAAGTAAACACCTCTGCACAGCGAACCTGGAGAAGAGACGCTGTAGGCATAAATATCTCGCCTTGGAACGGTGACGTCACCTGTACAGCCGCCTTTCCTCTGCGCTTGCGCTGTGACCCCAACACCTTCGCGGCCCCATGTTGACTATTGGCAGATGTGGTCTCAAAGGCATTACTGAGCGTGCGCAGAACCGGTCGCTGTAGATTTTATAGGCTACGGTGCTGGAGAGCTGGTTCAGAAGCGGAAGTGCTTGTCGGGGCCAGTTCTTGTAACGGTCTCTTCAACAGTAAGCAGAAAATCAGTTGACGAGAAAGACAGTGAGGTTGAGCGGACGTTTGCTGGGGGTCTTGGGCTAAGTGATGGGGGATTCTGGGGGACGAGTGAAGGGAGGTTTCTGAGGGTCATTGATATGGGGGTTTATAGGTTGAGTGATGGGGAACTGAGAAGTCAGTGTATGAGGGTCTGGGGGCTCATTGGTGGACAAAGTTATGGGGCTAGTTAGGATAGAGTGGAGCCTATTAAACTTTGACATTTACACATTTTCCAGCATAGTGACCTATACTTAGGGTTCTTGCGTATCCCTCAGGCCCCTCGTTAGGTGCGCCCTGCCTCTCCCTCTGTCCCTCTCCCCTCGCCCAAACCCTGAGTAGGGGTCTGGTGTGAAAGCGCCAGGAGAAGTGACCTGCACCTGAAGGCCTCTTTTCGGGTCCTGGGCAAGACTATCCCAGTGAGGTGAGGAGAAGGAAGAAGAGCCACCTGAGAAGACTTACCTAACAGCGGGCCTTCTCCACAGTTTGGGGGCTGGGAGGGGTGGGCGGGGCCTGGTGCTGCAGGATCTGAGGGGGCTAGGGGTAAAATGTCATTTGGATAATAGTTATAAAGTTCAGTGTTTTTTTGTGACATTTAATAAATAATACTTTTGAATTACAGATTAATTGGGAAATAGAGGAAAGGAAAAAAAGAACTGATTTGCCCCCCCATCACATTTATGTCCGTTCTTAAACATATATGTGTATGCCTTTTTAAACTTTTATAGTTTTAAGATAGGTTTCAGCAGTTGTATAATCTATTTTTATTTAGAAATTTATTGTAATTCAGTTTTAGATTTCTTCTATAACATTCTTTTAAACTTTTGAGATATGTCTACCACAACATACACAGAAAAGTGTATACTTCCATATAACATTTTAAATAACTGTGTAGAATTTTGTTGCTAATATTTACTTATTATTCTCTTATGGGTCACATGGGATTGTTTTAAGTTTGGCATTATTAAACTCAATGCCCAGATGAAGTTACTTACAGAGAAATTACACATTATGATAAATTATCTCATTAAGTGAATACAAGTTCTGGGTTGGGGTACAATTTATTATATGTAATAAAAGCCTTTGTGCTCAATGTTCACACAAAAAGTCAAAAATATACTAGTCATTATTAAAACCATATACTCTTCCACAGAGCAGCTTCATTGCTAGCTTATGTGAGGGGATTTCTAGGAGGATAATTCTGCTACTCCAAGCCTAATGGGGTCCTCATATGCTCTACCCTTCTCTACTTGTTCCAGCTCAGTTTTCACACATCTCTGCCTTTTCCCAAGAACAGCAGGAAATGGCCAAACCCCAGGTAAGTATGTTATCTGTTTGTTCCTTTCTCTTTTTAACCATAGATGTGATGAGATTTATAGGAATCTTTACCATGAAATAGAAAATTATTTGTGAATGAGGACTAGGATCAGGGAAGATGAGAGACAGAAGATCAAGGCTAATTAGAATGTACATACTTGGAGGACTTCAGGGTAACAGATACAGACATGTCCCTTGACTTGTGATGGGGTTACATCCTGATAAACTCATAATAAAGCTGAAAATTCATTTAATACTTCTAATCTACTCAGCGTCATAGCTTGGCAACATGGTACACTGTGGAGTATTCGTTGCTTCTCCTTTTGATCACATGACTAGGAATTATGGCTCACTGCTGCTGCTCAGCATCAGAAGAGAGTATTGTTTTATATATTGTTAGCCTAGGAAATTATTAAAATTAAAAATTCTAAGTATGGTTTCTACTGATTATGTATTGATTTAGCATCACTGTAAAGTTGAAAAATCACAAGTCAGACCATGTTTAGTCAGGGGCCATCTGTATTAATGTTGAGCTGCTGGTTTCTCTTTGAGTCTTCGGGCAGCCAAAGGGAAATATAACCAGTTCCTTGATTCACCTTATTCATCAGGAGAGAGCATAGAAAGGCCTCAGGAGAAGCCAGGGTTTCCTGGAATTGCTTTTCAGGGCATTTTTTGGTTCAGTTGTCATGTGGAATTATCTTTAACCACAACCTGGTGATAAATAACGTTCCTGATTTCCTGTAGATATTTCCCATTTCTAAGTGAGCTGGAGATATGGTCATATTATAAATTAGGAGTGAAATCTCTTAAAGGAACCTGCCTGTCTTTCAAATGACTTTCCTGAAGTAATTTTCTCAGTTGGACTTTCAGTTCTCTTTTGGCCAAGACACAAAGTCTACAGATAGCCATAGTCTACCATCTTTTTTCTTTCATTTTTTTATCTTTTAAATTAACTTAAAAATGATTTTGCATTTGTGTCAATTGATAAGTGTTAATACGTGCAGATTGGTGTAACTAATCTACAGGTTCTAGTTTCTTCATCATAAAACTGCCTCATGCTACTTATTTATAGTCATATCCTCCCCCTGCCTATAACCTTAGCCAACAACAGATCCATTCTGTGTCACTATAGTTTTGTCTTTTCAAGAGTTATTTAAATTGGGCCATATGCTCTGTAACCTTTCTTTCTTTCCTTTTTTTTTTTTTTTTTTGAGGTGGATACCACTATATTGTCCAGGCTGGTCTTGAACACCTAAACTCAAATGATTGTCTTCCATCATCTTCTGGATTAGCTGGGATGAAAGTTGTATGCCACCATGCCCAGCTTAGTGCAACCTTTTTTTAAAAATTAAACTTTTCCTTTTGAGGTGATTGATTTACATATAATTTGAAGAATAATATAGATAGGTCCCGTGTACCTTTTCCCATTTCCCCCAATGATAACATATTTCAAAACAAGTATAATATCACAATTAGGATATTATATTAATATGATTAGGCATGGGCTGGGGTTGTGGTTTAGTGGCAGAGCACTTGCCTAGCATGTGGGAGGCACTGGGTTCGATCCTCAGCACCACTTAAAAATAAATAAAATAAAGGTTTATCAACAGCTAAAAAAAATTTTAAAAATATGATCAGGCACAGAATAGTTCATTACTTCAAGGCTCCCTCAAGGCTACATTCACAGCTTTTCTCCTCACACCCATTCTTAATCTCCTGGCAACTACTAGTATGTTTTCTATTTCAGAAGCTTTGTTATTCCAAGAACATGATTTAAATGGAATCATACAAACCAGGTGCAGTGGCTTATTCCTGTAATTCCAGCAACTTGGCAGCTGAGGCAGGAGAATTGTGAGATTGAGGCCAAAGTCAATTTAGCAAGACCCTCAGCAACTTATTGAGACCCTGTCTCAAAATAAAAAAAAAATGAAAAAGACTGGGGATGTAGCTCAGTGGTAAAACTTCCTTGGGTTCTATCCCTAGTAACATAAAAATAAAGAAAAAGAATTAAATGGAATCATATAGTACATAATATTTTGGGATTGAACATTTTTTTCTTTTTACTCAACACAGTTCTCTGGAGATTCACCCAAATTGTTGTGTGTGTTATTAATTGTTCTTTTTTTTAATTATTGCTGAATTCATGGTATAGATGTTCTATGGTTTACTTATCCATTCATCTTTTGAAATACATTTGGGCTATTTCCAGATTGGGGCAGTTATAAGTAGAGCTACTTAAACATTCAGATTTTGTGTAAACATGTTTTCATTTCTCTAGAGTAAATATGAATTGCTGGGTCATATAGTAAGTGTATGTTTAGCTTTTGAGAATCTGCCAAAGGGGTTTCTGGAGCCATTGACCCATTTTTCATTTCCATAAGCAGTATGCAAGAATTTCAGTTGGCACATTTGTGTCAGCAGTTGGTACATTCAGTATTTTAAAAAAGTTTTATTCATTTTAGAAGGCATGTAGTAGTATCTTATTATGGTTTTAATTTGCATTTCCCTAATAGCCAAGTATATTGAACATTTTATATATGCTTATTTACTTTTTTGTATGTCCTCTATGATAATGTATCTGTTCAAAAGGTTTTGTCCTTTTGAAAATTGGATTGTTTTCTTACTGTTGAGGTTTGAGAGTTCTTTATATATTCCTTATTCAAGCCCTTTGTCAGTCCCATGGTTTGTAAGTCTTTTCTCCAAATATGTGGCCTGTCCTTTCAATTCTCTTAAGAGTGTTATTTGCAGAGCAAGATTTTTTTTATTATTTTGAAAGTGTCCAGTGTATAAATTATTTATTATATGGAGTGTGCTTTTGGTATCAGATCTAAGAATACTTTTTCCTTACTTGATGTCATGAAGATTTTCTCCTATTCTGTAAGTTTACTAGTTTTTGGTTTTATATTTTGTTCTATGATCCATTTTGCATTAATATATACTTTATATACCTTTATACTTTATGTATCTATATATACATATGTGTGTATACTTATATGTCTATATATACACACACATACATATACACACTTATATATGTATTTATGATTTATCCATTTATCTATTGGCAGACACCTAGGCTAATTCTATTATCTTGGCTATTTTTTAATATTTATTTTTTAAGTTTTAAGTGGACACAATATCTTTATTTTACATTTGTGGTGCTGAGGATTGAACCCATGCTAGGCGAGCACTCTACCGCTGAGCCACAACTTCAGCCCATATATCTTGGCTACGTTATTGGTTTAAAACTTTTCTCAATGCATGCATTTAATGCTGTAAGATTTTGTCTAAGCAGTGTTTTAACTGTGTCCCACAAAGTTTTGTATATTTTCATTTTTGTTCAGTTCAGATTACTTTCAAATTTTCAATAATACTTCCTCTTTGATTATATGTGTTATTTGGAAGAATAATTTAAAAAAATTGAGTTGTAGATGGACACAACTTTCTTTCTTTCTTTCTTTCTTTATTTATTTAATGTGGTGCTGAGGATCAAACCCAATGCCCCACACATGCCAGGTGAGTACTCTACCACTAAGCCACAACCCCAGCCTGGAAGAATGATGTTTAACTTCCAAGTGTCTAGTCTTCCTGTTATCTTTCTGTTACTATATATGTAGTCCTTTGTCCTTAGTTTTTAGCAGTTTGATGATGTGTCTGGTTGTGCATTTCTTGTGGGTTTTTTCTGTTTGGGGATTGCTGAGCCTCTTGAACCTACAGATGCAGGTCTTTGCCAAATATGGAAAGTGGTCAGAAAATTTTTTTTCAAGTATTTTTCTGAACTATCCTTTCTCTTCTTCTGGAACTCTAATAACCTAAATTTGGTGTTATCTCACAGGTCTTAGAAGCACTATTCATTTTTTAAGTATTTTTGTTTTCCAGATTGGTTAAATTGTATTGATTACTTTGAGGCTTATTCACTCTTTTATCTCTTATCTCCATTGGGCTATTAAGCCCTTTCTAGTAGGAGGTTATTTTGGTTATTATCTTTTTCAGTTTCAAAATTTCCATTTGGTTCTTCTTTAGATCTTCTGTGTCTTTGATGAGACTTTCTAGTTTTCTTGTGGTTCCCAGAAGGTTGGTCTAACTTCTTGGGTAGTGTGTGTATGTGTGTGTGTGTGTGTGTGTGTGTGTGTGTGTGTGTGTGTGTGTGTGTATGTATGTATGTTACTGGGGATCAAACCCAGGGCCTCATGCAGGGTAGGAAACTGCTCAACCATTGAGCTATATCCCCAGCCTGGGTGTTTTTTATAATAGCTGCTTTAAAGACTTTCTCAAATGATTCCAACACTTGTATCTGCTTGATGTTGGTATCTGTTTTTTTTTTTTCTCATGACTGTTGAGATTTTCTTGTGTACTATGTAATTTTGGAATATGTCCTACATATTTTATGTGATATTATGAGACACTGGGTTTGTTTAAGTCATATGGAGAATGTTGATATTTTGATTTGCCATAGGCAGTTGACCCAGTTGAGTTCAGGCTACAAGTTCTAATCAGTCTTCTGTAGTTTGTGGTTTCCATGTTTATTTAGTTTTTAAACCTCATAACAGACATTCTGGGATGTAGGCAGTGGCTTGTCCCTTAGTTCAGTTCTCAAAAGTGTTTACTTTTTTGTTTTAGAGTAGATCCACAAATGCACAGTTTGAGAATGAGCCCAGGAGTTGATATATGATGTTATGGGGTTTCTTTCCTGAATTCTTCCTCCCCATGATTTCCTGTGAATTTTCTAGTTCCCTGTTTTCCCCCTTTTTGTCCATCTTATAGAGAAACGTTTTTTGTTTTTGTTTTTTGTTTTTTACTAGACTGCACACTTACCCCAGCTATGCCCATGGATGGACACATGTTGCAGATACAGAAGACAAAAAATAATGAAGTTTCTCTTGGGACTAAGAGCTTCAAATCAGAGTCTGGGTTTTAGATGATGGCCAGAGTCTACTGGTACTGCAGGTCCTGTTGTAGCTATAACTGCTGGATTTTCTGCTGCTGCTACTGCTGGATTTT